CGTTGTGGTGAAAGGGGTTTGGGGGCTGTTTGTCGGGGTCTTCATTTTGTTGGGGGCTTAGGGTTATTTTATTATTCTATTTTTTTTTGTCCGGGTCATTATCCTTTATTTCCCCCCAGACTGTAGTATCCGGTAAACTCCTCCTAATTTTCAAAAGACAACGAGAAGAATGACAATCTAAGAAACCAACACCCTCCTTTGTGCTTCTATAAATATGTTTCTGATCTAATTTTATTTCTTGTGCTCATCTGTACTGTTGACAGTTACAATTGTGTATAATTTTTTTTTTAATTTGGAATTTTTGCGTTGTATAGGGTTTAGTTTTAAAATATATATATATATTTTCCATTTTTTAAAAAGGGGTGTTGCAAAAAAAATTGCACGATTTAAATGACAATAGTTAAAATGCTGCAGTTTTTAGAGATGTGGAAGCAAAATGGAGCTTATTTATTCTCAAAGGCTATAAAGGTGTAAAATGCATGAAGAAAAAAAACATTTACAAAAAAAAAAAAAGACAAAAAAAGTGTAACCTGAACAAAGTGTAGCGTTAAAGATTTTAAAGGATGACAACAACAAGAAAAAAAGAAAAAAAACAACAAAAAAACAGCTAATATATTGTGTTTGGGCTAGTTTGCTTTTGTTTTTAATTGTTCCTTTTTTGGAGAATGAAATACAATTGTGTATATTTTCATATAAGAAGTATGCACTGAGATGTTTCCAAACTGATATATTCCTTTCTAAACGTGTGGTTACTTACCAAAGTCTGTTTCTGATCTTTACCTTCTGAACTCTCTGTGGATGCTCCAGCCCACGCCCGCTGGGGCCCGACGCCGCGGCCACAGGTAAGCCAGGGTGGGGCACCGGCGTCGCCCCCTCCTCTCCCTGCCCCGGGGCGGCTGATTTGGGTGCTGGTGGATGTGACCGCGGTGCTGTGGGAGGGGCTGTGACCCCCGTCCCGGGAAGGCTGGTCTTTCCCGGGGCTTGGCTGGCTGGTTTTGGGGTGTTTGTGCCGGCAGCGGGGGGACAGGGCTGGCCAGGACCGCAGTGTCCCTCGTGGGACGATGCCAGGGGAGCAGT